CACACACACAGAACACACACACACACAAAGACAGAACAAAACACACACACACACACCTTCACACAGAACAAGCCCCCCCCCCTTTATCCGGCCTTCAGTCGGAGAACAACTTGATCTAATAAAATATGACTTTATCATTCAGTTTTACAGGAACAGGAGGTATATCATTCCTTCACATGATCATGTAAATGAACATTTCAGGAAAGGGTCAATGAGTCTGTAGTAATAAAAACACCACAATAATCCACAGCACTCCAGTCCATCAGTTAACATCTGGAGAAGACAAAAGCTGAAATTAATCCATCAAGATGTTTTAATGATGTCTTAATGCTGGATTTGTTTCAGCTTTTGTCTTCTCCAGATGTTAACTGATGGACTGGAGTGGTGTGGATTTCTTGTCACATGATCATGTAAATGAACATTTCAGGAAAGGGTCAATGAGTCTGTAGTAATAAAAACACCACAATAATCCACAGCACTCCAGTCCATCAGTTAACATCTGGAGAAGACAAAAGCTGAAATTAATCCAGCATTAAGACGTTTATAACTCAAATACGAGTCCATAATCCATAATAACTCTTCCTCCAGTGAAAGAGTGCATCTCCTGTCGTCTCTCACATCAGAATCCAGCCACATATGTGTTTAGAGCTGCGTGACTGGGAGAAAAGTCACATAGGAAAGAACAAGATTTTAGCTGAAGGTGCTCTGATACTAGGCCTTCAAAATATGGTGTTTTGATAGAAATATTGAGGCACACGCACACTGAAAAATCACTTTGTGATATGTTTTTAGACAGGCTAATTGTCAGTCTGCCACTCTCACAAAGTAAAACAATGTAGACAATTAATGAGGAGGGCATGGGAAAGCAGTTAGCGGGCACTGGGAGCACATGAGATGTAAACATGAGATGTAATAATTAGTTTGGGGTAAAACTCAGACCCCAAGAGGACAGGAGGAAACTGAAAACAGAGCCGGACTTGAGCAGACTTGTCTTCAGTGGGTCCCTGATCTGGCTTTCTTTTTCCAACACTGGGACTAATCTCAAGGAGTCCATTCATTGTATATAGATCCCACACTTTTTGCCATTTGTTATTAACATAGGAACAAATGACTGGTTTTACTGCACTTCCTAATTTCCTTTGTTTCCACAGAGCCCAGGTTCCCAACAAAAACAGATATTACAATTATTACCATCCTCTAGTTCCAGCAGTTTGTAAAAACAAAAACAAACAAAAAACGTATGAATACGTATAAACATGAGTCAAATTCCATTCTCAACATAACCCGTTTTTCTTGTTTCATAGAGGTTTGCTTATGCAAAGCACCTTTGTTTAGATTCATCGCTATTTCTGCTGGATAATGCTTCCCCGGAGCCGCGCTGTTTCTGTCAGCAGATAAGAGCTGTCACTATACTGTCTGCCTCGGCTTTACCTCCAGTTTATCACATTTAACTCTAACGACTTCAGCGCTTTACATTTCACTCTCGGATCCCGCTGGGGTTTAGTTGCTCGACCCTCACAAACGAAACACTAACACATCTGAACCTGCCGAGCACTGAATAAACACATTCACTCACACAGTCACCTGAGGATGAGGATGCGCTGCCTGATGAAGATCCTCGGTTAATGAACTGAAGATCTGCTGTAATCTCCAGCCATGAGGACAGCGAAGGTGACAGCAGCGGCGCGTTTCATAATAAGAGTCCTGAGAGCAGGAGAGTCACGTGTACGTGTCAGTCTGACGCTGAATCAGCGGTGGCGCGTTTCATAATAAGAGTCCCGAGAGCAGGAGAGTCACGTGTCAGTCTGACGCTGAATCAGCGGTGGCGCGTTTCATAATAAGAGTCCCGAGAGCAGGAGAGTCACGTGTCAGTCTGACGCTGAATCAGCGGTGGCGCGTTTCATAATAAGAGTCCCGAGAGCAGGAGAGTCACGTGTCAGTCTGACGCTGAATCAGCGGTGGCGCGTTTCATAATAAGAGTCCCGAGAGCAGGAGAGTCACGTGTCAGTCTGACGCTGAATCAGCGGTGGCGCGTTTCATAATAAGAGTCCCGAGAGCAGGAGAGTCACGTGTCAGTCTGACGCTGAATCAGCGGTGGCGCGTTTCATAATAAGAGTCCCGAGAGCAGGAGAGTCACGTGTCAGTCTGACGCTGAATCAGCGGTGGCGCGTTTCATAATAAGAGTCCCGAGAGCAGGAGAGTCACGTGTCAGTCTGACGCTGAATCAGCGGTGGCGCGTTTCATAATAAGAGTCCCGAGAGCAGGAGAGTCACGTGTCAGTCTGACGCTGAATCAGCGGTGGCGCGTTTCATAATAAGAGTCCCGAGAGCAGGAGAGTCACGTGTCAGTCTGACGCTGAATCAGCGGTGGCGCGTTTCATAATAAGAGTCCCGAGAGCAGGAGAGTCACGTGTCAGTCTGACGCTGAATCAGCGGTGGCGCGTTTCATAATAAGAGTCCCGAGAGCAGGAGAGTCACGTGTCAGTCTGACGCTGAATCAGCGGTGGCGCGTTTCATAATAAGAGTCCCGAGAGCAGGAGAGTCACGTGTCAGTCTGACGCTGAATCAGCGGTGGCGCGTTTCATAATAAGAGTCCCGAGAGCAGGAGAGTCACGTGTCAGTCTGACGCTGAATCAGCGGTGGCGCGTTTCATAATAAGAGTCCCGAGAGCAGGAGAGTCACGTGTCAGTCTGACGCTGAATCAGCGGTGGCGCGTTTCATAATAAGAGTCCCGAGAGCAGGAGAGTCACGTGTCAGTCTGACGCTGAATCAGCGGTGGCGCGTTTCATAATAAGAGTCCCGAGAGCAGGAGAGTCACGTGTCAGTCTGACGCTGAATCAGCGGTGGCGCGTTTCATAATAAGAGTCCCGAGAGCAGGAGAGTCACGTGTCAGTCTGACGCTGAATCAGCGGTGGCGCGTTTCATAATAAGAGTCCCGAGAGCAGGAGAGTCACGTGTCAGTCTGACGCTGAATCAGCGGTGGCGCGTTTCATAATAAGAGTCCCGAGAGCAGGAGAGTCACGTGTCAGTCTGACGCTGAATCAGCGGTGGCGCGTTTCATAATAAGAGTCCCGAGAGCAGGAGAGTCACGTGTCAGTCTGACGCTGAATCAGCGGTGGCGCGTTTCATAATAAGAGTCCCGAGAGCAGGAGAGTCACGTGTCAGTCTGACGCTGAATCAGCGGTGGCGCGTTTCATAATAAGAGTCCCGAGAGCAGGAGAGTCACGTGTCAGTCTGACGCTGAATCAGCGGTGGCGCGTTTCATAATAAGAGTCCCGAGAGCAGGAGAGTCACGTGTCAGTCTGACGCTGAATCAGCGGTGGCGCGTTTCATAATAAGAGTCCCGAGAGCAGGAGAGTCACGTGTCAGTCTGACGCTGAATCAGCGGTGGCGCGTTTCATAATAAGAGTCCCGAGAGCAGGAGAGTCACGTGTCAGTCTGACGCTGAATCAGCGGTGGCGCGTTTCATAATAAGAGTCCCGAGAGCAGGAGAGTCACGTGTCAGTCTGACGCTGAATCAGCGGTGGCGCGTTTCATAATAAGAGTCCCGAGAGCAGGAGAGTCACGTGTCAGTCTGACGCTGAATCAGCGGTGGCGCGTTTCATAATAAGAGTCCCGAGAGCAGGAGAGTCACGTGTCAGTCTGACGCTGAATCAGCGGTGGCGCGTTTCATAATAAGAGTCCCGAGAGCAGGAGAGTCACGTGTCAGTCTGACGCTGAATCAGCGGTGGCGCGTTTCATAATAAGAGTCCCGAGAGCAGGAGAGTCACGTGTCAGTCTGACGCTGAATCAGCGGTGGCGCGTTTCATAATAAGAGTCCCGAGAGCAGGAGAGTCACGTGTCAGTCTGACGCTGAATCAGCGGTGGCGCGTTTCATAATAAGAGTCCCGAGAGCAGGAGAGTCACGTGTCAGTCTGACGCTGAATCAGCGGTGGCGCGTTTCATAATAAGAGTCCCGAGAGCAGGAGAGTCACGTGTCAGTCTGACGCTGAATCAGCGGTGGCGCGTTTCATAATAAGAGTCCCGAGAGCAGGAGAGTCACGTGTCAGTCTGACGCTGAATCAGCGGTGGCGCGTTTCATAATAAGAGTCCCGAGAGCAGGAGAGTCACGTGTCAGTCTGACGCTGAATCAGCGGTGGCGCGTTTCATAATAAGAGTCCCGAGAGCAGGAGAGTCACGTGTCAGTCTGACGCTGAATCAGCGGTGGCGCGTTTCATAATAAGAGTCCCGAGAGCAGGAGAGTCACGTGTCAGTCTGACGCTGAATCAGCGGTGGCGCGTTTCATAATAAGAGTCCCGAGAGCAGGAGAGTCACGTGTCAGTCTGACGCTGAATCAGCGGTGGCGCGTTTCATAATAAGAGTCCCGAGAGCAGGAGAGTCACGTGTCAGTCTGACGCTGAATCAGCGGTGGCGCGTTTCATAATAAGAGTCCCGAGAGCAGGAGAGTCACGTGTCAGTCTGACGCTGAATCAGCGGTGGCGCGTTTCATAATAAGAGTCCCGAGAGCAGGAGAGTCACGTGTCAGTCTGACGCTGAATCAGCGGTGGCGCGTTTCATAATAAGAGTCCCGAGAGCAGGAGAGTCACGTGTCAGTCTGACGCTGAATCAGCGGTGGCGCGTTTCATAATAAGAGTCCCGAGAGCAGGAGAGTCACGTGTCAGTCTGACGCTGAATCAGCGGTGGCGCGTTTCATAATAAGAGTCCCGAGAGCAGGAGAGTCACGTGTCAGTCTGACGCTGAATCAGCGGTGGCGCGTTTCATAATAAGAGTCCCGAGAGCAGGAGAGTCACGTGTCAGTCTGACGCTGAATCAGCGGTGGCGCGTTTCATAATAAGAGTCCCGAGAGCAGGAGAGTCACGTGTCAGTCTGACGCTGAATCAGCGGTGGCGCGTTTCATAATAAGAGTCCCGAGAGCAGGAGAGTCACGTGTCAGTCTGACGCTGAATCAGCGGTGGCGCGTTTCATAATAAGAGTCCCGAGAGCAGGAGAGTCACGTGTCAGTCTGACGCTGAATCAGCGGTGGCGCGTTTCATAATAAGAGTCCCGAGAGCAGGAGAGTCACGTGTCAGTCTGACGCTGAATCAGCGGTGGCGCGTTTCATAATAAGAGTCCCGAGAGCAGGAGAGTCACGTGTCAGTCTGACGCTGAATCAGCGGTGGCGCGTTTCATAATAAGAGTCCCGAGAGCAGGAGAGTCACGTGTCAGTCTGACGCTGAATCAGCGGTGGCGCGTTTCATAATAAGAGTCCCGAGAGCAGGAGAGTCACGTGTCAGTCTGACGCTGAATCAGCGGTGGCGCGTTTCATAATAAGAGTCCCGAGAGCAGGAGAGTCACGTGTCAGTCTGACGCTGAATCAGCGGTGGCGCGTTTCATAATAAGAGTCCCGAGAGCAGGAGAGTCACGTGTCAGTCTGACGCTGAATCAGCGGTGGCGCGTTTCATAATAAGAGTCCCGAGAGCAGGAGAGTCACGTGTCAGTCTGACGCTGAATCAGCGGTGGCGCGTTTCATAATAAGAGTCCCGAGAGCAGGAGAGTCACGTGTCAGTCTGACGCTGAATCAGCGGTGGCGCGTTTCATAATAAGAGTCCCGAGAGCAGGAGAGTCACGTGTCAGTCTGACGCTGAATCAGCGGTGGCGCGTTTCATAATAAGAGTCCCGAGAGCAGGAGAGTCACGTGTCAGTCTGATGCTGAATCAGCGGCGACGCTGAAATAAACTCATCTACAAATAAACTCATCTACATCTTGGATGGACTGAGGGCAGGGTTGCCAATCCTGCATGACAAAACTAGCTCAACTGGTATTCAAATCTAACCCAATCATGGGCAAAACTAAATAGCCAATCACGTTCTGGGGGAAAAAGGCTATTAAAATAGCTGTAAAATCTCCACATTCTGGGGGTCAGGGGTATGATTTAAACAAAAAAGTTGCCCAATTCCGCAGGAAAACCTTGGACTTGGCAACACTGCCTAAGGGTTAGGACATTTACAGCAAATGCTCATTTTTGGGTGAACTAATGTTAACAGAGCAAGAGATTAGCTGATCTGACAGCGAGAGGAGTGTAGGAGACTATCGTTACTCCAGCACAAGCACAGTCATCTGATGACAGAGAGTCAGATTAGTGTGAAGATGATGTTCAGAGCAGTATATGGGACTAAAGTAGCGAGTAGCAGGAATTTCTACTCAATCAAGCTCTTCAAGTGCATTTTCTCTATCTGTTTTATATGAATCAATAATTGGGGGTCCGAGCGCTTTCCAATTCTTCTTCTTCTTCTGCCCTAAAAGCGTTCCGGTGTCAGAGTCCGTTGATCGTAGAGATCTCAAACTCAAACCACTAGTGTCACTAGTGTCACGAATCCGGTCTATGAACTTCCGTTCACTCACCACCAGAGGTCACCCGCTCACTACATGGACTCTCACACTACACAGTCTGTTACGCTATACCCTGCACTACATTTCCCATCATCCATTGCACTGATTGCCCACAGCTATAACCAATCACACGCGCACCTGAAAGCCATTACACACACTATATAACACCTACCCAGATCCTACTCAAGTCGCCAAGTATTGTTCTGCATTTATCACTCTCCTAGTGTTAGCTGCCCCAGATAGCAAGCAGACGTTGATTCAATGTCGATTTTGGTTGTAAAGGTCAGTATCGGTCGTCAATCAAATTTCGATGTTGAATCAACGTTCACTATTTGTCGG